TTTTTTCCAAATATAGGACTTTTTGTAAAAAAAAGAGTATGTCATTTAATACTAGAGCCCTTCAATTTGAAGAGGCAAACAGTTGTAGCAACGTTCATAACATGGGGTCTGCATGAAAGACTTTATTTTGCAAAATGTAAAATGTAAGCCTTCCATATATCATCAATTGAGTGGACAGAAGTTGAAGTGCAGGCGTAGTGGTTCATAGTCGTTCTGGACCTTGTTTAGATAAAGCACGTTCTTTTCATCTAACACAGTCGAACCTTAACACTAATGATTTTCTATTACTTTGTTTTACACTGTGTTCTTTACAATCCCATTTCCAAACTCTCAAGATCGGCTTGTTTCTCAACACAAAATCAAACTTTGCAATTTTTGACGAGTGTTGCGAAAGATATGAGATAACGTCAAACCGTCACGTACACTCTCTTAAGTATCTCACAATAAGCATTTTAAGAGATATCGCAGGACGGTCATTCTCGATAAAACTAGATTGATACGTGTGATGTCTCTGACAGTATGTGAAGTAAAATGTCGAGAAAATAGATTATTGGCAGAGAAAACAGGTCCACTCTCCTGTCAGGTTTATTCCACATCAGTTTATAAAGGTTGCCGCCGCATTTTCTGTATAGTTTCTCGTTTTCTATTTGGTCGTATATGCGTGCTGCATACATCCAAAGAGTTAGACCCAAATCATTACAATGAGACGTTCTCAACAAGGAATAGGCACGATATTATCAAGTATCGTCAGATTATATGGCTGTTTCATCATAGCTTTGGCAACGCGGTAAAATTCCAGTATCAGTTGGTTTCGCGTAGACCTTCGTGTCTGGTCGGGGACTGTTTCTGATAATCATCATTCCAAGAAAGGGAAGTCTGTCGTTGTTCTCAAGTTCCTTTATGAAGCTGAGTGTTCACTAGAATACCGAGGCAGACGAAACATCGGGCATTTTGCTAAGGGTTTTATCGACAAAGCGCTAATAGAAAGCAGCCGTCTTGTTTTTCCTTTAAAATTTTTCTTCAATATGGCACATAAACGCATCTTCCATTAGTGGTCCGAAGGAGAGCCCATGGTAACTCTATCCACTTGCTCGTACAAATTTCCTGCAAATTGGGAAAAATGGGTTTTTTGTTTGTTTTTTTTTGTGATGTTAAGGGCATATCTCCTATTGAAACTGTTGTCTTCGAACGCTTTCTCTGCTTGGATTTCGATGCCTCATCAGCCTCTGTTTTCTTCTCAACGCTGAATGAAATCCACCCTTCACTCATTTTTACGATGGAACTGAGCTATGCACACTATGTTGGCTTCACCAGCCGACACTTTCATCAACGTGAAGAGGAACA